CAGTGTAGGACAGGGCTGTTGCTCAGGTAAGAGGAGCCCTCTGCACTGGGGTTTCTGCTGACATCACAGGCAGCTCAGGGTGAGACAGGGCTCTCTGGGCTTCTACTTGCTGGAGGGAAAGGGAAAGTGCCCATTCTCTGGCCCCTCCTTCCCCTCCTGCCCTTAGTGCCCTAGCCTGCACACACATGCATACTGCAGGGTGTGCGCATGTGTTGCTAGAAAGGAGAGCTCCTCTTAGGGATGCAGAATCTCAGGGGGTGTCCTAGGTCTCTGAGGTAGACTGGGGGCTTCAATTTGCCAGCTAGATAGTACAGCCCTCTGGAAGCAGAGGGGGCCCCTTGCTCTGCTCCTGTTGGTGGGTGGCCATCTAACTCCTTGTTCATGAGTTGAATGCTCATTCCATGGTTCCAAACTCCCTACTAATGGAATCCAGAATCTGAGTTGAGCTCTCCAGCAGTCTCAGGCTCTGGCCTCTCGCCGATGCAGGAAGGCCAAATGAGGTACCTGGCCCAGTGTCAGTCAGTTAACATTGGGAGGTGGGTGGGCAGGGAGCCCGACTGCCCTCTTTTCTAGGCGCTGGAGGGCTTTTCCGGTCCCAAGGAACAGCTGAAGGAATGGCATATCACTGAAGTCAAATAGTGCTGGCTTCCAATCCAGGTTCTGTTCCCTACAGGCTTGTGTGACTTTAAAGACTTCTCAGTTTCCTCATGTGGAAATAAAGAAATAGCTCTTATCTTTGTTGAGGCAGGGCCTTGCTATGTAGTGATCAGTGATCATCCTGCCTCAGCTTCCTGAGTGTTGAGATTACAGGGTTGTATCACCATACCCAGCCCATAGCAACTATCTTAGAGTTTTTGTAAAGATGAAATGAAATAGTACCTACAAAGTTTTAGCACCATACCCCTGGGGAGGAGCTCAGTCCATTTAAACTGTTATTAGTATTTAAGTAGAAATAACTATCAATGAAAATTGCCAGCTAGGCAGCAGGCTAGGGAGTGCCTAGAGGAAGGGAGAGGGGGGGCAAAGCTGGTCATAACGCATTCCACAGAGAGGCAACAGCCTTGTTTTACAGTGGCCAGTTAGAAGCCAGTATTCTTACCCCCGGCCTGGCTCCTTGCTGTGAAAGAAGATGTGTGGGCCCTGCCCTGTAGGACCCTCCCTGATCTGCATACCACGTTTCCACCTGAAGCTCCTATCTCTCCAGCCTTTATGATGAGGGGATCAACCTCTACTCCTCTACCCCCTGGCTTCTTAGGTCTTCTCTCTATGTCCCCAGCACCTCCATAGGAGGCACTCAAGAGATGTCTGGTGATGAGTGAATGTCCTCTGTGGAATTGTTCAAGCCCTAGTCCAGGAATGCAGACCCTTCCCAGGCTAGCACCTCTTCAAATGGCAGTTCCATTGCAGTGCAGGACCTGGTGTTGGGGCTACCTGGAGAGCCTTGCTCAGGGATAAGTTATGGGGGAAGGGAGGAGAGGAGGGGTAGGAGAAGAAGGGATGGGAGGGACACAGGGAGGAGTGGGACATTAGCCAGCTCCTGAGCCAACATTGACTCACTTCCACTCCTTAGAGGGCAGCTCAGTCATCACCTGGTACCAGCACTGCCTCTGACCATGCCACACCTCTAGGGGCTTCTGCTACCTCTTATGGATGCTAAGCCTTGTAGTTTGGAAGGCCAAAGGAGGTGGAAAACTATAATCTCCTTCATCAGTCCACTGGAAACCTGAATATTCCCAATATCCTGGAGGACAGTGGAGGGAAAGGAGGGCAGAGCTGGTCACAACCCATTCCACAGAGAGGCAACAGCCTTGTTTTACAGTGGCCTGTTAGAAGCCAGTATTCTTATCCCCAGCCTGGCTCCTTGCTGCAAAGGGAGATGTGTGGGCCCTGCCCTGTAGGACCCTTCCTGATCTGCACACCACGTTTCCACCTGAAGCTCCCCCTCCTCCACAAGCTCTTCTTTCACTATCCTCCTTGGCCCTAAAGGCATTGCACCTACCACCTGTGGCTGATCTCCAACATGAGACATTTCATGTCTACAAACCTGTGTTCCAAGCTGAAATTCTTTAAGGGAGGCATGAGCTTTTCTTGTCTTGTCTTTTATACAACTAGCACGCAGTAGGGACAGAGAAAGCTCTGATATGGCTTCCCACAGGATGGACAGGATGTTTCTTTCTTCTTAAGGATGCTATCTGGAGATAGGGGGTGGTGTCTCCTCCAACTCCTGCCCTACCTCCTAGCACTCTCAGACTTTTGGAGCTGGAAGGGCCCTGACAAAGTTCTGTTTGAGAACCACAGGGGAAGGAGACCTTTCCTCTCCCAGCCACTAGTCACCCGTCTCTGTGCTGTTCCCTGGAGACACCACTCCTGGCTCTTTCTCCCTTCTTCCTTCTCTCCCAAATTCCAGCAGCCCACCTGCCTTGGGGATTTGGCAGAGCAAGGTACAGTCTTTGCTCCGGCCCCCACCCCACCCCAACTAGCAGTTTCTAGCCTGCTGCCTTTGCCCAGACATGGCAAAGGGGCACTGGCAGCTTGGAGATGGAGTTGATTTTCCCCTTGGCAGTGTAGAGAAGGGGAGGGGAGAAGCTTGGCCCCCACTGGGTGAGGGGAGAGGGCAGGATGGCAAGTCTATACAAGAGCTGAGGGAGACTGTGACTTGCCAGCTTGTAGGGTCACTGGATTCAGAAAAAAGCATACTGGGGACCTAAGGAGCAGAGTAAAGCCAACTGTCCTGTTCTTAGCTGCCTGGGTCTGACAGAGCTGCAGCCCTCAGTTCCTGTGAACTCATGTTTGGAGACTCCAAGGTGGACACATGCTGTGGCCAGCAGACCTCAGCTCTACTGCACCCTCCACTCCTCCTCTCCAGTGTCTTCTCTCTGGCTCCTTCAGCTCCAGCCTCCACTCCATGTTCTTATTCACACCCATTTGCCTTTGTGTCTCCTCTTTCCTTCCCTGGTCCCTTCTCCTTCCTCCCTCCTCTTCCTTTTGCTTCCCCTTTCTTCAGCCCCCTCTTCCCCCTTCTCTCCCAGCCCCCTCCTCCTCTCCACATTGGGGCTGCTTTCCCCCTGACTCAGCAAGGTGCTTTATAAGGTGCTGAGGGGCTCAGCCAAATCCAAACCACATTGTCTGTGCAGCCTCTCACCAAGAACAAGCTGCAGGGCTGCACAGCAAGCAGGGCTCAGACTTCTCCCCTTTTCCCTTTCCCTATCCCCTTCCCTTCCTAGCTCCCTCCCTTGGAAAGGGTGGCTGCTAGGAGGACCTCCCAGAGTGGCCTCTGTGCCAGTCACCCATAGGCATCTGGCTTCTTGACCTTGGCATGGGTATCAGAAGATTGTCAGGCTCACAAGGGAAGAATGTCATTGAAACTCCAGAGTCCTGGCTGGTGGGGGTGGGGAGGTGGAGGAGGGAGGCCTGAGCCCTTTTCATAAGGGCCCCTCCAAGGCACTTTTCATCAGAGCTGGCTACCGATGTGCCAGAATGTCCCCTGCCCCCCACCCAGACCAGCTCTCCATTTTCAGCTCATTTTCTCTTTTTTGGAAAAAGAAAAAAAGGAAGAGAAAAAAAGGAGAGAAAGGAAGAAGTGGGGGGGAGTAGAAACAACCCAACAACAAAGTCTGTCCCACTCCAGTGAGGTAATTGAAAACAAACTTCTTCCCCCCCCCCTCAGTTCTCATGTGCAGAAAAGGGAAGAGCTGCCCTGGGAACCCAGCACTGGCCATCACCATGATGTCTACTGTGACCCACAGGCTGGAGAGGTTGTAGTGGTCTGGCACAGTGCCCTCCTTTTCCAGAGCCCGGGCAGGAAAGAGAGACAAGGCCACTCTAGAGGGAGAAGTATCATCTTCTAGGTTTGTCTATCACCACCTTCTTACCTTTCAAACAACAGATAATAAAGCAATTTATTACTGAATGATTTAATTGGTGGAATGTTTGTAGGGTATTCCAGACTTGGGGACCAAATGACTGTCCCTCTAGAAAAATCACAAAATGGGCCTGTCTGCAAGCCCCAGATGACAGCTGCTTCCTCTTCACTCACTTTCCCTGGCAGCCCTTTAGAGAGAGAGGAAGGAGACCCTCCAGGGAGGGTCTAGGCTTATGGGTCCCCTAAGTCTCCACCCAGCAAGTCCCAACCCAGGCCAAAGGGGAGGAAGGAGGGAGAGCACTCCACAGCCAAACCACCCCTACCTCACCACCGGAAAAACCAACAATTCAAAACCCCGAAGGAAGGAGGATGCCAAATGTCTTGATGGGGAAGCATTTCACAAACGGGACTGGATGGGACTCCAGGTCTGTCCATGGCCTCAAATCTTCCCATTCTCGCTGAGTCACCCACACGATGCCTCTGGTGTTGAAACTGGTCCGGTGCCTCCTGCTGATTAATGAATTACAAATCCCCCACCCATGTGCACTCTCCTTGGTCACTGGGAAGAATGGAGAACCTTGTGAACTTGAGGGAGAAGCTGGGCATTGGGCCCTGGTGCCTTCTTCCTCCCCCCAGGGGACATTGTGAGCTGGTTAGTCACCTGCCCCAGCCCCTGGCGCCTCACTTAGCTCTAGCTTTTGGAAATGGGACAAGCAGGGGACAATGGGCAAGGGGGGGGCGGTCAGCCCAGACAAAGGGCAGCAGGAAAAACACCATCACTTGCTCTGAGGCCAGTTCGCTGGCATTTGGGAGAATGTGTCATTGCTTTTACTCAAGGAGGAGGGGGAGTGAAGGTTAGACATGAAACAGAGGTAGGGTGGGCCCAGGGATCCCAAACTAGGCAGAAGTAGGGGGCAGGCGTCCCTAGCTGACACCGAGGGAGAAGCCCATGGATTCCTCATCAAGGGTTGCTCCTGGCCCTGGCTCTGGGGAGTCTGCAGACAGACCGATGCCCTCCCTGCCCCCTCCCCCAAGAGGCCCAGGGTGGTACTGCCACAGCCTCGCCTCACCTCACCCCCCCCCCTCAGTGTTGTAGGAGGGTGAGGAGCCCCAGAAGCCCTCCCTTCCCGCTTCCCCTCTCCTCCCCCCACCCCGGGGAGGGCTGCTACAATTTGTGGTTACAGCTTTACACGTCAGAAAAAAAAAAAAGTTTGCAGAATGTCCCACACCGAAAAAAAAAAAAAAAAATCCGAAACCGAGCGAAAAAAACCTGCAAGTGGGCCTGGCGGATGGGATTATTAAAGCTTCGCCGGAGCCGCGGCTCGCCCTCCCACTCCGCCAGCCTCTGGGAGAGGAGCCGCACCCGGCCAACCCGGCCCCCAGCCCCATGGACCTCCGAGCAGGTAGGAGCCAGGCGTCCGAGGCCCCGGCCACCACCAGCGCCCTGAGATCGGGTTCCCCTCTGCTCCCCACTCCAGGGAACCCATGCCGGGCCCGGCCGAGGAGCAGGGCTCGGGCCGGGGGAGGCACGGCTGGGCGCCCTCGAGAGGGGCCGGGCGGGGACGCGGCATTCCTGGAGTCCGCTGCGTCGGGCCAGGAGTGGCTGGGACTTCGGCGGGAGCTCTGACCGGCCACAGACCTGGGGAAGCAGCAACCTGAGCACCGTGGAGACGGGTCCCGGGAAACTGGCGGACAGAGAGCCCGGCGCAAAAGTCGGGGAAAGCGAGTCCAAGGAGGGGAGCGAAGCTGCTCCGGGAGACGCGGCGCGAGGAAGAGGGTCTCAGAGAGGAAGAGGGAGGGCAAGGCAGGGGGAGCCCTAGCCTGGCCGGGCCGGCGGGGGGCGAAGGGAGGCCGACACCTCAGCCCCCGCCGCTCTCCCTCCCGCCCGCCTTCTCCTCCCGGCGGGCCAGGGAGGGAAGGAGGGCGGGCGAGAGACGAGGAGAGAAGAGGAGGGCGGAGGGCAGAGTGAGCCTGGCTGGGCCGCGGGGCTCGCAGTGGCTCGCTGCGCACGGTGCGGCCGGCCGGAGCCCTCCATGCTGCCCGCGGCCGGGGAGCCGGCGGCAGGTAGGGGCCGGGTGTCGGGGCGGAGGGTGGCAGCAAGCCCCCTGCCCGTCATCCTGGGAGTGATTACTGCGGGGGTTGGGGGACAGCCCGGCCGGACCCAGCAGAAAAAAGTCCGTCACTGGTCAGAGACCGGCGGGTGCCGCTGGCTGCTGCAGCAGTAGCAGCAGCAGCAGCAGCAGCAGCAGCAGCAGATCAGCTTGGCAGCCACGGAGGACAACAAGTTGACATGCGGGAAAGGGCAGTGACTGGCCGAGCCCAGAGCTTCGCACTCTCGGGACCTGGCCCCCGCCCCCACCGGGAAGGGAGCGACCGAGCGGGAGCGGGCGAGGGGCGGGGCCGGGGGCGCCGGGGCCACACAGGGGGAAGGCGCCACTGCAGCCGGGAGGGGTCCAGGAGCCAGAGGTCAAGGCCAAGAGGGAAGGGTGGTGAGTGGCCACCTGGGCCGCTGCATAGTTCCTGGGCCGAGCCCCTTGAAACAAACTTCAAATTCTGCCAGCGTCCCGGCTCTGCTCTCCCTACTTTCCTTTCTGGCAACTGCACAGTGGGCTCCAAGTCCTCCTCTCAGCAGCCTGGTCCCAAAGGACCCCTGTGTCCTCGAGGGGAGGGGCGGGAGGGGACTGCCGTTAGGGGGGGCGTAGCAAAGGGATGTGAGGCTGGAGAATACAGGACACGCCTCTCTCTCCTATCTGACTGGGGGACATCTCTAGGCTTGCACTGCTCCTGATAGACTTCACCCCTTCCCTGAGCACATTATCCCTTTTATGAGACACAGGTTCATATTCTTCTAACAGACCAGATGCGCTCTACCAGCAAACTCAGATTTGGGCTGCCTTGGAGTCAAGGAAAGAAACAGGTAGAGATGGCAGCAACTGTCAACGGGTAGTCCAGAAGGTGTTAAGGCTGACTGGAGCAATGGCTCCCCTTCCTCACCACTCTCCTGCCCCATTCACACCTGTGCATGGCAACCTCTATTCAACCAGCTACTGATACCTGACATTTCACATTCCTCCCCACAATCCCACCTGCCACCTGCCTGTTCACACCCTGGCTCCTGCCACCCTCTCTGGCCTCTTACACACTTTCTTGCACACTCTTAATAACACCACCCTTTTCCAGCTCCCTCACACACTTGCCTGGGATTATTTCCTTTACTTTTTCCCCCTGTCTCTGGCTTCAGATGGGTGCTCAGCTCCCCCTGCCTTCAGTCTCCTCTTCCTGAGCACACCCAGGGCCCTCTTGCGGCACAGTCAGGAACCTTCTTCCTCTATCCAGAGCCAACTCCTGTCTGGGTAACTGACTTCACAGGCTAGGACCTGGCCCACCCTTTGCTTCTTTCCTTGGACCTGGGTTTCTTGTCATTTGGACTGCAAGAGAAGGGCAGGAAGAGGATACTGGAGACAACAGGAGAGCTGGAACCCCATGTTTCAGCTGGAAGGACCTTTAATGCACACAGTGCAGCTTTTCATGCAAGTCATCAGTTGTGTTCATGGCACAGCTCAGTCTCCTGACTTCCATGCCTATATGTTATCCCCACTCAACCTGCTCCTTCTAAGTAGTTTGGGCCAAAAAGGAAAAAGGGACAGGGCAGAAGGTAAAGAAAGAAGAGAGGATGCCAGGTGTGGTAGTGCATGCCTGTAATCCCAACATTCTGGAGGCTGAGGTAGGAGGATTGCCCCAAGTTCAAGGCCAGCCTGGACTTCTTAGCAGGCATGAGATCCTGAGTTTGATTCCAAGTACCCAAACAAGGGGCTGGGGAGATAGCTCAGTGAAATAAGTGCTTGCCTGGCAAGGGGAAGGTCCTGAGTCGATCTCTGGTACCACCAAAAAAAAAAAAAAAAAAAGCCAAGTACCCAAACAAACAAAAAACAAAAACAAAACCCAAAAATCAAATTGACCAAAAATTAAAACAGGCAGCAAGACCCTGTCTCAAAAAACATAACAGAACAAGAACAAGAACGAGAGGGCATCCAGAGCAGACAGTGGAAAAGGTGAGGGTTTTTTTTGGTACCAGGGATTGAACTCAGGACCTTGTGCTTGCCAGGCAGAGTGGCTATCTCTCTGGCCCAAAGCTACATTTTTATGGGCCTTTCCCTGGGCAAACAGGAGATAGCTGTAGTACACTGTCCTGCAATCCTAATGCCTGGACCTTATACCATTAATGTACACACCACCTATTAGGTCACTCCATCTCAAGTTTCTCTCAAAAGACCCCTCCAATGTCACCTACACGTGGTCATGTTCTGGCTTGAGAGCTGGGCCTTCGGCTTCCTATAATTAGCCCAGCCTTGGGCCATTGCTGGAACTCCGCAGGGCCTCCCTGGCCTCAACATTTAGGGATTACAGCTTATTCCCCAGTCCCAGGTGCAGAGTCTCTACCCCAGCCACTCTGGACATCTGTGCTGCGGAGCTCCAACATCCTCACTAAGTGTAGTCAGCCTGCAGGAAGGCTAAGGACTAAGGCAGCTGGCTAAAGATGTGCACATGGGTATGCCTGCCTGTGCAGCATGTTAGGGTGCTGCACTTGCATGGGCTAAGACTGTTTGTGTGTTTGTTTGTGTGTGTGTGTGTGTGTGTGTGTGTGTGTGTGTGTGTGTGTGTGTGTGTGTCTGTATGTTCATGAGGGGGGCTTCGGTTCTCAGGACCCAGGGATCTGGATAGAATTAGGGGCTGGCCCTGATGGGGGCCAGGATTGGGAAGGGGGCTGCAGCAGGAAACGTGAGCTGCACTCATTAGCTTCTCACGTGCTCAGCTGGATTTATAAACACAAGGAGTAGACGGGATGTAAACAATCAGTGGGCAGCAGCCAGAGGCAGAGCTGGGGCTGGGGGCCAGGACTGGGGGAGGGGCCCCAAGACATGGCCCCATGGCATGTCCACCTGCACACCACAAGGCAGAGAGGAGAATGGATGAGGGCTCTAGGAAACCCAATGCACACTCCTGCCTAAAGTCAAGGGGACCCCAGAGCTACTGTGGGCTCTGGTATTCACTAAATTCAGGTGTTCTCTGCCCCAAGCAGCTTTCAGCTTTGCTGCCTGAGACATGGGCACATCTTATCCAACAAGGAAACTGTTACAGTAAAGGGCAGAACCCTGTCCTTCCACTTACCCTTTCTCCTCCCCTGCCTCCTCTCCTTGTGATTCCTGAGATTCCCTGCCTCTTTCTGTTTCTCTCTCAGCCAGTCAGCTCCTTCTACTTTTTCTCTTCTGCTCCCCCAACCCCAGCCTGCAGTGACATAGTTACCTCAGAACTGAAATATTCCTGGAAACACCGGCCTTGTCTGGTTAATTTCATGAGCCTTTTTTTTTTTTTTTGCCCAGATGACATAGCTCTTATTTATTCAAAGGCCTCTGGCCCTGCTGTCCCTATATAGGGAGCAAGTCCCTGGGATGTCCCACAGGACCCAGGAGGGTAAGGGGAAACAGGGGCAGCACTGGACTCCCAACCATACTTCCTTGCCATGGGGCAGACAGAGCACAGTTCGAAGACTCTGGGTGACAAAACTCTGTGGACCAAGGGAGGGTGCAGAAGCTAGTCCCATCTCTGATTCCTGTTTCAATGAGACCTTGGCTTTGCTCCTAACTTTGAGCAAGGACAGATTCCATCCTGAAAGCCACCTGAAAGCTGGAAGGGCTACTGCTGCCTTCAGCAGGTTTCCAATCTCTAAAACTGAGGCTCCTGGAGGACACTCAGCTTGATCTCAAGCTGAGGACAGCCCACGCTTCATGCAGAGGAAGAGGGTATGAAATTGTCTTTGGACATGTGGTTTGGGGAATGGAAAAGGACTCAAAGTCAGGCAGGAACAGGCAATGAAAAGGAAGACTGAGGAAGAAGCTTTCAGGAGGAATGACACAGGCTACAAGTGGCAGACAACAAAGTGAAACCTGTTTTCCTAGGGAGTAGAGTGCCCAACCTTGCTCCCTGTACTATACACACACCCTCAAACCATAAGCCCTTCACCCGGAGCAGCAGGGTCCCCAAGCCAGTGGCACCCCCGACTCCTATACTCCATCAGGAAATCCAAGCAGTCAGGTATCTGATAAGTCACTGACTAGCTGAGCCACCAAAAAAAACCCCACCTGCCCTCTGTAAAGACTCTTTTAGACTACTTAGGATGGTAACCTTCTCTAAAGCTCTAAAGACAACTCCAAGCCCTATCCTGACTATAAGTATAGACAAATTATTAAACCTATTCAACTTTTTTTTTTTTTTTTTGTCTTTGTGAGACAGGGTCTCACTATGCACCTCAAGCTGGCTTTGAGCTCACTTTGTAGCTCAGGCTGGCCTTCAGTTTGCAATGATCCTCCTGCCTCAGCTGCCTGAGTGCTGGGATTACAGGTGTGTACCACCACACCCAGACTTAAACCTAGTCAAGGGGGCCAGGGAGATGGCTCAGTGGAATAAGCGCTTCCCTGGCAAGCACAAGGGCCCGAGTTCAATCCCCAGTTCCAGGAAGAAAAAAAAATCTAGTCAACTTATTTCTATTTAGAAAAATTGGGAGGGCTGGCCAAATAGCTCAGCAGATTAAAATACCTGCAAGCAGGCACAGGGGCCAGGGGTTGGATCCCTAGACTTGCCATGCTGGCCCTGCCCCATGGGGCGTGATGAAATGGTAATTGAGACTGGGCGTGGTGGCACATGCCTGTAATCCCAACTCTTGGGAGGCTGTAAACAGGTGGATCACTATGAGTCCAATCTACTAGTGAGACCCTGAATGCCCTGTAGACCCCTTCCTTAAAAAACAAAATACAAAATCAAAAGAAAAATTGAGAAGTATAAAATATAAACTAGGGTCAGGGAGATGGCTAAGTAGAATAAGAGCTTGCCTGGCAAGCGCAAAGGGCTGAGTTCAATCCCCAGTTCCACAAAAATAAAATAAAATAAAATAAAATTATAATATATATATATATATATATATATATTTTTTTTTTAAAAGAAAGAAGCCACTTGACCTCATACCTACCCAAGCTTAAACCCCAAAGTAGCCCTATTCTTTATGACATGTCAAGCATCACCCCATCTAACATCTAAATCAACAAATTTATAAACCTTAATCCTAGCTAACCATTGGCTTGCCCAAATGTAACCACATCCCCCTGGTGGACTCAAACCTCAACCACACTCAGTCAACCAAATCCCAAGTCTAAACTAGTCTGAAATATTAAAGTAACCTAGTCCTTAAACCTAATCTAGCCCAACTCAATTATATCCCTGTCTGATCCGATCCGATCCGATCTGATCCGATCCTATCCTGTCCTATCCGTGCATTAAATTTTGACCTTGAACCTCACCTAAAAGCCAAGAAGCTTATTTCCCACTTGCCTGTGGCCCTTCTGATAGCATAGACCCCTGGCTTCTGGACATTCTAGGATATCCTAATCCTTTAATGTCTTCAGCTGACAAGCCCAATTTATAAAATGCATCTCTCTCTGTTTTGTGTCCCCCTACATTGCCCCAGATGAGAATGTTGCAGATCTGCACAGTCACTAGTCCCTGAAGGGAACAGTAAATCTTCAGTACACTTTATCCTATACTTCCCACACCTAAGAACCATGTTCTAGAATACACCCTCAGGACTCCATAAGTCAGCCCCATGTGTGTCCTGCAGCCCTGGCGGTCCAGCCCTACTCCTGCCTTCTCATGCCTCCCACAGGACTGGGTGTTCAGCTTGCCAACACTGACGTGCTATTTCCCACCTCTTGGTTCCCATCAAGCTGTAAGGGGTCTGGGAGCCTGGGAGAGGAGCTAGGGTGCACCTGGAACCCAGAGTGCTGATCTATACTCCCTGAGTCTAGCCTGCCTTTCTACATGTACACACACACACACACACACACACACACACACACACACAGAATTACACACATACTGAAGACTCATCTGACACAGATGTACTCTTAAATACCTACAGATAGATATACAAATGCTGAGTCCTTCTACACACACACACACACACACACACTCATCCTCTCCCTCTCTCTCTCTCTGGCCAGGAGCATTTTTTCTCCATCTTCTCTGCCTCCCATCTGGTGTCTAACCCTACCCCCCTCCCCTGGCCAGGAATGGGGACAGACACCTGAGGGGCTGCCAGCTGCTTTCCCAGTTGGGCCTGATCCCACCCTCATGCTTCTTGCTCATCCTGTCCACAGGGGACTCGTGGGGGATGTTAGCTTGCCTGTGCACGGTGCTCTGGCACCTCCCTGCAGTGCCAGCTCTCAATCGCACAGGGGACCCAGGGCCTGGCCCCTCCATCCAGAAAACTTATGACCTCACCCGCTACCTGGAGCACCAACTCCGCAGCTTGGCTGGGACCTATGTGAGTATCCAGCTTAGGAGTCTGGGCATTGGGCAGAGTGAGCAAAGGATTTGGGGGAAGACAGAGCTAATAGTAGAAGGGTCCTGGTGAATGATGGGGTGGTGAGGAGGGCCCTTTGGCTCCAGGCAGTCTCCCTGTCTCGCCCATCTCCTGCCCTTCCCTCTTAGTTGCCCCCCCCCCACTCCCCATCCCTGGCCCCAGGACTAGGCATGTGGGCAGGCCTCGCACCCGCCTTGGCCCATTGCCCCACTGGCTGCCAGCCCAGCCGCCTGCCTCCCCCTGGGGGCTGGGGAAGTCTCTTCTGTTTACACCGTGTTGTGGTGTCTCTTGCACGGGCGGGGCTGGGTGGGGATGGAGGGGCCCCACCTCCTATGCCTGTGTTCCAGCTCGCCTCTGCCCCCAGACCTGGGGCCCTGCTGCTTTGGACCCATGGGCCTCTCCGTCTGCTTCTCCCATCCTAGCCAGGCCTCTTAGGGGGGTCATGGGGGAAAGGGGCTGCAGAGAACTCAGGCCACTAGTGGTAGGGGGCTCAGGGTATGGAGGGTGGTTATGCCATAGGATTTGAGGGTGGTCTAGAGATGTTCAGGGAGCCCAGAAGAGAAGGAAGAAGGGTCAGAGGAGCCTAGGACCATGGGGAACCAGCCCCCTCTTCCCGTGTTCCTCTTCCACATCCCAGACCCTACTCTGGAGCCAGGGAAGGAAAAGGGAGGAGGGTGGCGGGGGAGCTGGCTCCAGCCCCAGGATACACCGAGGAAATTAGTTTGTCTCTGTGCTTGTCAGCGTGTGAACCTCCCCCTGGGCCCTTGCCTATCCCAAGCCTCGCCCCTCTTTTCTCTTTCCATCCCAGTTACACATCTCTCACATCCCTTTCCCTGGGCCCCTGGCCATTCCCCCGAGGGTTGGCAAGGGCCTTGCCCTTTTCCCTATGCTATACTATACTGTCTCCATACTCCTCTTTCTGCCCTCTCATGAGCCTGCCTCAGTTCCTTCTGCAGTCCTTCATAGGACTGACCCACCTTGGGGTACTAATGAGTACCCTTCTGTTCCCTGTCCCTTAGGTAGAGGAACCAGGCATGTCAAAGAGGAGCTCTAATGCCAATGGCCCCTCTGCCTGTGACACTGACTTTTCCTCTCTCTGGTTTCCCTGTGCAGAAAACCTTTGCTTCACTCTGCTTCCCCCTTTAATTCCCGACCCTTTTTCTCTCCTGGCTTCCCCTGCCAAATTTCTCAAAGGAGTGGTCTACACCCTCTGCCTCCACTTCCTCTCCACCCACTCACTCCTTAACCCCCTGCAATCTGGCTTCCAGGCCATAGCAATGGTTCTTTCCCAGGTCGTCAGGCATCTCCTCACCAAACCCGACAGCATTTCTAAGCCTCCTTCTCCTTGCTGTTTTGCAGCCGCACTGTGGAGCACTGCTGCCTTCTTGAACTCCTCTTCCTTGGCCTCTGCACTCTCCTGGGCCACCTTCTACCTCTCCAGCCTGGCCTCCTGGCTCCTCGTGACTCTTCTTCTTCTCTCTGCCCTGTGGTGGGCACTCGCCCAAGGCTTGCCCACTCAGCCAGTCATCACATCCTTCCTCAGTGGCTCCTGCGTGGTTTTCTCTTTCTACACTTCTCCATAGGAAAGCTCATCACCCTCACTGCTTCAACTGTCACCTCCATGCAAATGGCATCCTTGTTGGAAAAACTTAGGGGAGACCCACAAACAGAGGCCTAGTGTGAAAACAGGGCCAGTGTCAGGGGACGTGTGAAATAGAAGCTCTGGGAGCAGGTATATTCCTAGCAGTACACTGCTGCTTTGCCCTCCTCCTTCCCCATCGCCCTCTCCTTTTCACAGCTGAACTACCTGGGGCCTCCTTTCAACGAGCCTGACTTCAATCCACCTCGGCTGGGGGCAGAGACTCTGCCCAGGGCCACTGTCAACTTGGAAGTATGGCGAAGCCTCAATGACAAACTGCGGTTGACCCAAAACTATGAGGCCTATAGCCACCTCTTGTGTTACTTGCGTGGCCTCAACCGTCAGGCTGCCACGGCAGAGCTGCGCCGCAGCCTGGCCCACTTCTGTACCAGCCTCCAGGGCCTCCTGGGAAGCATCGCAGGAGTCATGGCAGCTCTGGGCTACCCGCTGCCCCAGCCTCTGCCAGGAACTGAGCCCATTTGGTCCCCTGGCCCTGCCCCCAGTGACTTCCTCCAGAAGATGGATGACTTCTGGCTGCTGAAGGAGCTGCAGACCTGGCTGTGGCGCTCAGCCAAGGACTTCAACCGGCTTAAGAAGAAAATGCAGCCTCCAGCAGCTGCGGTCACCCTACACCTGGAGGCCCATGGCTTCTGATCTCTGACCTTTACTATATCCTCTTTTCCCCCTCAAGTCCTGCTCCCACTCTGGGAGGGAGAAACCTGTACACCAATACTTGTTGAGCCAGGAGACAGACGGGAGCCCTGTCCCTCCCTGGCCTTGGACAGGGGTGTCGTATGATAAGCCTCATCTCTTGCCCAGCTCCCAGAGTCCTATGGGTTTGGAGGAGAGGTGCATAAGTGATGTCCTGTTTTCACAGAAGTAACGCTCAAGCGAGTGGGATGGCTCTCACCACCTCCTGCTTCCTGCTTACCACCTCCAGTACCCACCCAGCCCCTCCTGCAACACTTCTAGAAGCATACATGAAAGGCAAGAGCAGGGGGCCACCATAGCACATGCCTTTCTGAGATGAAGCCCTTTGGCTATCCTCACTTCCCTTGATGGGTGTTGCTCTCATACCCCAATACCTATATATCCAGTTCAGGAAACAAACATGGCAATGACTCTAAACAAGAGATGGGAAAAAACTGGAAGGGGTGGCCTGCACTGGAGATGGCCTAGAAGCCAGAAGAGGCTATACTGACAGAGGGACAGGGACAGACAAGACCCAGCAGTCACCAAGGCGTCAGTGGCACAGGTGGCAAGGGAAAAAAAAGCCACATTGTGCATAAGGACCTTGCCTTGAATTTTCTTGCCGGCATCAAAGTGCCTCCTATTTACCACCTCTCCCAGGGTATCTGTGGTTGCCCAGGCTGGGGAAGGTAGCCACAGCTGAACCCACAGCCACAGCCACGGGTTTCCTGAAAGTTTACATTGCAGTAGCATAGTGGGGTGTAGGGGGCAGCTCTCCCAGGCTCTGCTCCCCCAGCCCCACCCACTCATGACTCTTAAGTTTGTTGTATTAATATTTATTTATTTGGAAATGTTATTTATTAGATGATATTTATTGCAGAATTTCTATTCTTGTATTAACAAATAAAATGCTTGCCCCAGAATTTCATTTCTTTGACTTCCTGACTGCCTGGGGCACATAGCAGTGATCCCAGCCTTGCAGTGCCCTTGCCCCAGAGGAGGTGCAGGTGCACAGGGCTTGAGGAAGCAGCTCTCTTCTTCAGCCTGAGGCACTGGGTAATCTAGGGCATGTCCACTCCTGCTATCAACTGCACTATGTCTTCACCATCCCAGACAGCTCTCTATCCCCTGTTCTTCTGCTTTTGGCCTTTCTTCTTACCTTTTTTTTTGGTGGTGGTACTAGGGATTGAACTTGGGACATCACACTTTGGCCTTTCTTCTTTATCTGCAACACTTCCAAAAGCACAGATGAAAGGCAAGGGCAAGGGGGCCACCACAGCAGGTGTCTTTCTGAGATGAAGCGTATTTAGGGGGAAGAGAACACCTTCTGGACTACAAGAGAATGTGATAGACGCTATTTTGAGGGGTGACCTAAACTCAAATCTAGTTCCATAGTCCACTTAGCTGAGTTACTTTGGACAAGTTAAAGCTTCCTAGTCATCTATTCTCCATCTGCAAAATGAGAATAATTAAATAGAAGATTTCTGGAAAAGGTAACAGAGGGCCAGGGAGATAGCTCAGCAGCATAAGTGCCTTCCTGGCAAGTGCAAGGTCCTGAGTTTGATCATTGGTACAAAAAAAAAAAAAAAAAAGGAAAAAAAGAAAAGGTACAAAATCAATAAAGGTTAAGATGTTTGGGGCAGCTGTGCCCCCAAAAAATATGCTTGGAGTAGTATCAGTGATTATAATTATAGTTTATTTGGGACATGTCCTTCTGTTATGCCACTAAGTAAATTAATGAGTTAACTGCTCCCAGGTAACACATGGATGTTTTATAAGGACCTCCTAAAATAAGGCCTTAAGCAAGAAAACCAATAGTAATGTCATTCAGGTGACAAACTTTATAAACGGCTTAATTACCTGCCTATCACTAACTGATATATGAAAGCCAAAAGAAGTCAGAGATCTGGGCTGGGGAGATGGCTCAGCAGAATAAGTGCTTCCCTAGCTGGCAAGCTCAAGGGTCTGAGTTTAGTCCCTGGTTCTGCAAAAAAAAAAAAAAAAAAAAGTCAGAAACCTAAATTCTTTTTTTTTTTCTTTTTGTGGAACTGGGGATTGAACTCAAGCCCTTGCGCTTGCCAGGCAAGCGCTTATTCTGCTGAGCTATCTCCCTAGCCCCCAGAGACCTAAATTGGCTCCTGCTCTTATGGAACTTGCAATCTACTTTGGAAGAAGAGCTTTCCTGAAATAAAGTTCAAAAGTATGCAATGCAGAGGAGGAGGTACTCAAAAGTACATGAACCACTAGAAAATTCACAAGTACAAGAGCTACTGGCCTGTTTATGGGCTAGCCAGTCTCTGTGGAATGTCCTGGTGTCATTTGGCCCAAGTGGAACATGCACCACCCGTACAGACACCTACAAGCCCTGCACCCAGCCTACAAAGACAGAAATGAGAAAGCATCTGAGCTGCTTCCATATGTGGACAAAATGTGTAATGGTCTGGTCTATGTAAAACACTAAGCTGTAGGGAAAGAGATGGTGGTCCTGCCATTATGGAGTGTACATATACCACTTGGGGTAGAATTCTTGGGGACAGACTCTAACTGTTCTTTTCTATCCCAATGTCTAACTCAGGCTCCTGTCTAAAGGTGTTTCAGGGTTGGGGATGTGGCTCGGTAGTAGAGTTCTTGCCTTGCATGCACAAGGCCCTGAGTTTAATCCCGAGCCCCACAGATAAAAGGAAATGAAATAAAAGTGTTCCAAACTAGGTGTGGTGGCACATGCCTGTAATCCCAGAGCTCAGGAGACTAAGGTAAGATTGCCAAGAGTTTAAGGCCAGCATGGGTACATAGTGAATTTAAGACCAGCTTGAACTATACAGTGAGACCTGTTTCAACCCTACCCTCAAAATAAAAAAAAATAAAGGTGATCCATTAGTGTGTGAACCAAAATAATCTAGAAAAGGGAACAAGAGCTGGCTATGGTGGCACATGCCTATAATCCCAACTACTCTGAAGGCTGAGGCAGAAGGACTGAAAGCTGAAGACCAACCTGGGGAATTTGGGGAGATGGGTCTCAAAAAAAAAAAGGGAGTGGTAAAGGGTCAGCCAATTAGCTCAGCGGATTAAAGCACCTGCAAGCAGGGGCTGGGGGTTCAATCCCCTGGGGCCTGCTGTGCCAGCCTCTCCCTGGGGGTACTGAGGCAGCAATTGAGACTGGGTGTGGCAGTGTGTGTGTACCTGTAATCCCAGTACTTGGGAGGCC